AAATAATGATAACTTCTAAACCTTTTATCCTATATCCTATTTTAGACTTGGAAAAATTCCATGTATTCCTATTTCTACATCAAACGTTGGTGTGCTTGAAAGATTCACTTTGTGCTCATAGGTCAGAAATGAAAAAAGTTTTCGAACAGTAACTGAGGAAGTTCTTCAAATGTAGATTTCGAAAAACTTGTTATTTTTTTTCTAAAATATTTTTTGACACAAGAAAAATGGAATCATATTTGCACAAGAACTTTTGCAACATCCGTTTTTTACAGACCAGCTTTTTGTGTCGATCGAAGATACGCCCACTGCTCGAAGGCCAAAAGCGCTAGAAAATTTTTTGAACATACAATTAGAAAGTTCTTGAAATGAAGATTCTGAATAGCTATTTTTTATTTTTCCAAAACATGTTTTAGTAGAACAAAAACGAAGATATATTTTCCAGGAACTTTTGCAACACCCGTTATTCAATGTTACATTTATTATTATTTATATAATGAAGCATCTGTTGCAGCGACTATTGCCATACTATAGCGGTAAAGAAAAATCAGCCATTTTATCAGCTAGTTTTTCTTTGGCCTTCTTAAAAGAATCGTTTTTGATAAGTTACTAGCGATTCAGAATCTTCTTTTGTTTTCGCATAGTTGGGTAGAGCACATAGGGTTGTCTAGATTTTAATTTTTTGTATAGTCATTGTTCATTAGGTAAGTTTGACAAGTTGAAGTCAGAACACTTCCAATATGACTGGAGAAAATTACTAGTACTCTTATGTATATAGAGTAGTGTGCGAAATTATAGACTCCCTGTCCAAACCCAGTTATTTGACCACTCTCAGTCGCTACACAGTGTTGTGCACAGAAAAATCTTTGTGTCTACCCACTGAAAAAATAATCAAAATTCATGCAGGATCCCGCAAGGTTTTGCGTAGGATCCGCGCGGGTTGTCGGGATTAAAAATCTGGCGATGTTTCTCACCTTTACGCAGGATTTTATTCTGCCGGCCATGACGGAATCCTGCATAGTTTATGTAAGAGTAACGTGGAAAAAATCCTGCTTAAAGGTAAGAAACATCGCAGGACTTTTTAACATATTCAATCCGCAAGTTTTTTCTTACGAAATCTGACAGAATTTTGTTGGTTGAAAGAAAGAGGATTTTGTCTCCTATGTCTATTCTGCAATCTGTTCTCACCAATATCTGTCCAGGGTGACCGTGAAAGAACTTGTCTGTATTTTTTATTCTTGGAAAGTTAAGTACTTTTGCGTCTTTTTCTCGTAAAGTTATAAAAGCTTTTCTCTTGTCCTCATGAAAAAAAGTTCAGAAAAAAGAACGGCGAAGAACGCATTCTTGAAAAAATGGAACACGAAAAAGGTTATGTAATAAAGTTTTAATATAAGTAAATAAAATAGAATGACAGTCAATTAAATAAAAGAATAAGTAAAGAAGCCAAAAAGTACGACAAAATGATTCACTCCTGCTTTGTTGTCCAGGTCTTTTTAAGTGGGAGTTTTCCGTGTCTTTTAAGGGGACATTGTGCAGGTCTTTTTAAGTGGGAATTTTCGCTGTCTCTTTCCATATATTTTTCCGCGACTAACTATACTATATATAGCAGTTGATTTCTTGTAATAAATCGACAGTGAAAGGATCACATTGATCTATGGTTATTAATCAGTGAATCGAATAGAACAACCTAACATGTGTTAACAAGTAAAAAATATGGACATAGTTGTTAGGTTCCATTTAACTTGTTTTAATCTTCACTTGTATGTACAAATGTTTTATTAAGAAAGCAAGGGCCTTTAGGTCTCGTGACCTAACAATAGTCCAAGTTGCTGGATATGTAAGCGATTCAGATGAAGAAGTTCCAGTCTTTTGACATTTGGTGTCATTTTCAATGTTTTTTCTCTCACTCTTTATTATACTTTACAAATAATTTTCATCTTTTCTACTGGTAGAATCTGTCTTATTTACTTACCAAATTTTCATTTTTTACTTATCAAATTCTTTTTTTTTACTGATAAAAATGATAATTCTTCACTGTTATTCTCTATATTAAACTGATCATGTTCTCGTTATTTACTGGTAATCTTAGTACTGATCATGTTCTCGTTATTTACTGGTAATCTTAGTACTGATCATTGAACAACTTAACTGATCATTCAACCTTTTAACTGATCATTTATATACTTTTTTTACTGATGATTTCATCTATTTTGCAAATCAAATATTTTGTTGCGTTTTTGAAACACAACCTCAGATGACAATTGATTCAACTAGTATTCAAATTACGTTTACAAAGAAAAGCAACTAATAGATTCATCCACATCATTCGTAAATATTTTGAATTATATCCATATGAATCGATCAAATACAAATATCAATATCTACCTGGAAATTATCATAGATATTATAATGCTTTTGTAAATCCACTTTGTTTGGAGTTGTGTAAACAATGGTTACCTAATGTAGATAGAAAACTATATTTGTATTATTTATAAATTTATTGATCCACTATTCAACAAAAGCTGGATTTACCACTGACATATGAACAAAAAAGAAAAATTATTATTTTATTAGAATTTTACCATAAATGGAAACATATAGCAAGAGAAAATAATATTAAAAATACGCATTACATATATAAAATTCTGCAATTAACAATGTCTTCTCAACTGGATTACAATTATGCGTCGGCATTTAAATTGGATGTGTGGCCAAAAGATATACGAGAAAATTTTTTAAAACAATTTGACAAAAATCGACCTAATTTATGTGAACATATTAAAACCATTTATATGCATCTGGTACCGAAATGGTGAAAAATAGAAGAAATAATTGATGATCAAGAACTGGAATTTCGTTATTCAGTTTTTGTTTTTTTTAATTTTTATTCAGAAGTGCAACAAATCGAGGTATCCCCCCGTTACATGCTGCCAAGAAGTGGAGTAAACAATAAAAGTGCACTAAAAAATAACTAAAAAAGTATATTACACAAAAACAACAATAATAGAAGAAGAGAGATAATGCTAAACAATGAGGTTTGGCAAGGAGGACAGAGTAAAGAGAAAGAACGTTTCAGTATGTTTAATTTTAGATTACATATTAGCAATAGTGAGAGAGATTATAAAGATCGAAGAAAGTGATGTGCATCGCAAGCCAAACAGTATCTATATATCTACTGGTTAACATAAGCTATTAGCCACAGTTAGTGAAATCGTGTTGTTTCATTTATGAAATTTAAGACATTTTCAAATAATTTCTGTATTTTATTGATTTCAAGATGTAATACTGAATCATGTCTCAACAAAATGTGTTCCAACTTAAGAGAATTCGTATCGAGTATCTCCTAAAAAGTGTCTTTCATACTCTTGTGCTCCTTCAGATATTTAGTACAATCTAGTAGAAAATGCTTTGGAGTTTCTTTTGGGCCACCGCATACACAACAGGGGGATGGCTTTAAGTTACGCTTGTAAAAATCATCATTTAGTTGGCTAAATCCGACTCTAAGCCTTGTAAAATGAATTTCAGACATTCTTCGAATTGTCGGTTTCAATTTAAGTTGTAACGAGTAAGGTGCTTTAAGTCGTTTTTTAAATTATAAAAATTTTTAATCTCTCTGAACTCATTCGGTAGCGCATTCTAAAGCTTCTTAGTCGCTGGTATAAAGAAGTTCTCGTAAATTAGCAGTCCTGATTTGAAAACTGGTAGTGTATTTTTATTTTGACTACGCAAATTATGGGTTTGCGTGCAGGTGGTAATGCATGACTTTTGAGAGAGAAGAGAGACAAATATATAAAGAGATTTTTCTACAAGGAACTTTGTTTAGTCTTTTGATGCTATTCCATGCTAGTATTAATTTAATTTCCAGTTTGACCCATGTAAATATTAGCACAATCACTACACTCTATACAATAGACAACTCCTACTCTGCTTTCATCCTTGCCTTTATATTTATGTGAGAAAGTACTGCCTATTGTTTAATATTTTCTAAAATGGAATCTAATGTTTGTAATTTCATATTTAATCAAAGTTCTTTTTATACTCGATACAAATTTTCTTGACTCATTACCTAGGTAATAGAAACAAACATTGCCTTCTACTTTGCATTGAGATTTATTAGCGTTTTTCAATGAGTTAAAAAAAGACGATTTTTTTTTCGACAGATGTACTAAAGATTTTTTTGAGTCAATCTTGGCGAGACAAAAAAGAGTATTTGGATTGATGACAAAGGCGAAACAGACGGCAAAGGTGTGCATAGCTTTTTGAAATCTTTTGACAGATTTGACACATTATTAACGCTTGTCATTTCAGGAAAACGTATTAGTTTCTGCGCTGATCAGCAAAGAAGAATATCGTTTGTCATCAGTGAACATATTTTCGTGTTCCAACGAGCACAATATGAACAGTACTCATTTTTTAAAGTAGATCAAAAATGCATGTTCATTATTTCGAAAATTACATAGTTACATAATTTTCTGTTACAGAAGTAATAAAAGTAACTTAGAAAGATCGTTAAATCAGCATACTATACAAAAATAATGGGCGCGTGATAAACGAATTAATCTAATATTTCAATTTCCAATATAACAATATACAACGTGTAACAAGCAACAAAATTTCTGAAGAAAAATCTGAGTTCTTTCAAGAACTCAAAACGGCATAAAATATAAATTTGAAGTACTGAAAAATGAGTTCTTCAAATAAATAAACAACAGAGAATGTGTTCTTCGCTTGGAGTTCTCTGAAGAACAAATGTTCCAAATAGAAAACTGAAAAGTTTAAGAACTCATTTTATGTTCTTCCATTTTCCGAAAAATCTAGCTTTGCATGTTTCCAAAAAACTCGTTTGTGTTTACTATTTGGGACAAACGAAAAACACGTTTTATCTTTTCTGAAGAACACGTTTTTTTTTACTGTGTATTAGACTTTAAATAGTACAGCTAAATGAATTACCAGTTACAAACTTAAAAATGTCTTAGCCATTTAGTTTATCATTCCCAGTCTTAGAAAGGTAACTTAGGTCGACTTTTGAGATATGCGGCGACTTTTGCATCTTGCTCAACTTGTTGTCGAATCTTTTGTAAATTAGGATATTTGTCCAGTATCGTTGAATCTGTATTCAGCACTGTTTCAGTTATATCGTAGAACCATAAATCGGCCCATGTTAAATGATTACCGACAAAGAAATTGTTGCCCTCATAAATTTTTTGCAATGTTTCCAAATTCTTGAAATGTTTGGGAGCTTCTTCACGAAGCACTTCTTGCTTCTTTGTTTCATCCTTGGTCAAATGAACAGGTATGTACTTTTGAACAAAATCAGTGACAGTATCAACCACAGCGTCGACTTTTGCTTGTTCAAGATTGTCCCGACCGGCAAGTTGAAATTGTTTGGCCAAATACCGAGCTATTGAAAGAGACTGTGGTAGCTTGACTCCGTCCACTTCGAGTATTGGTATTTGACCGAGTGGAGCTTCGGCCTTGTGTTGAGGCCATTCTTCCCTCGAATAACGTATGTCTTCGTATTTTTCGCCTAGAAAAAGGGAAGATATTAGAATTCTTCTCTAAAAAATCTGTTGGCCCCAAATAAAATGATCTCAAAAAATGAACATTTCTACTATCACCAAAAACCACCACATTCCAACAACCCACGAACCTACATACAAAATATTCTAGCAGANTAGACTTCTTCTCAATTTAGTATTTTGTTGCATTCGTTTAAACGTTTTAGAGATTTTTGGGTGATAAGAGTTATTCGATATTAGTGTCCCAGGAAAACATCTCTGCAGGTGTTACACTTCAGTACTTTTCTTTCAGACACCTCGACTTGAATGGTATTTTTTAGAGAAGAATTTAGGAAAAAAAATAAAGGTAAAAGTAATCATATGATCGGAAGGTAATTAAAGAGGGCTGCACTGAAACATGTTATAATCTATCTCTTCCGGAATGGGTGAAAAAAATTAGCTCCAGTCAATGAAAAACTTCAGAATAATGGAAAAAATTAATTTTAACGCACACACAAGTAAAAATACGAGATCGAAGTTTCAGAGGATTACATCTGTCTGAAAATGATCCTATCAAACCGCTGACTTTTGCATGTCTCAAACACTTTGGCTAAAATGCATGAAGAAATAGTACAAAGGCGTTCTTCTGATTAAGGTCGTCATCAGAACAGATTTCTACTTGAAAACGATTAATAACTACAGTACATACCAGCAGCAGCAAAAATAAGTCTGGCCACTTCAGCACGACCACGTAGGTCAAAGTAGTACAACTTGTAGCTAGACATGGCTAATATATGTCTTTTGTACGATGAAAAGGAGAGGAGACGTAGAACGAGTAAAATGTGGCTCTGTATGAATGAATGAAAGAGAACAGCCACTCTCACTTATACTTATACATGGTTGCCTTGTCAGCATGCGGCGAGAGTACGAGAAGAAGAGCTAAAAAGAATGACATCAATGACAGTGCACATTTTCTTCTTACTATGGTAGGAGATTGAAGGTGTAACGAGGTGGCGTAATCACTGATAACAAACAAATTGACTGAAATGTGACGCCGAGTCGGCTAAAAATAATATATACTTTCTTTCAGCTTATGAATACGTTTTAATCATTTGATAAGAGAAACAGGCGAAGAGAAAAGAGGGGAAAAGAAAAACCACTTCGGATTGTTGTTATAAAAAAACACACTAACAGTACAAAACAAAAAATTTAATAAACACACGTTATTCTAACCTAACATGTAACGAAAAAATATAACCCATTGTAGATCACCACGCAGGTTTAAGTCAACACACAACAACAAAAAAACAATCAGTAGGTCACGCAAGATTTCTTGACAACGAAAAGGAGGATGTTTGTAGAAGAAAGTGCTGGCAAACCAAAAAAAATGTTATAGAACCTAACAAATGCTGAATTTCGACACTATCTCGTGAAATAGCACATGTTTGTAAAACTGACTCAACAATGCTCTCAATAACGTTTTCTAACGAAGTGCTAACTAATTGAGTTGTTCTAACACTTAACATAGCTTCACTTCTTAATTGTAGCAAGAGATGTAAATAAAGTTTGTTCAAATCTTCTACAGGATACGATTGTTGTACTTCGGTAGCACTGTTTTAAGAAGGATTATCAAGGGGGAAAAAGCATACTTCTGTACTTCTGGTACTTCTCCGTACTTCTTGATACTTCTTCGTACTTCTTCGTACTTTTTTGTACTTCTCCGTACTTCTGAAGTGAAGC